ACCTTTTTTCTTCTTCAATAAACAACTCCTCTCTCAGTCTTTATTCAGCATTCATTGTTGGTTGGTTCAAATTTCAACCTTGTCTGTATGAGCAACCAAGTTAGTGTACTCCTGTTGTAACAGGAGAAGGCAAGACACCGAAGCCAGTGTATATTTTTCACTCATCAAACCGCTATTCACATCTGTACAGTTTATATTCTCTAACCAATCACTGAAAGTGTCGTTTTGGCTTACATTGAACGACATGGAATAGAATGTGGAGAGACACACACACATATTATTGTGTTTGTGATGCAGTATTGAAGTGTGGGAGTATGTGAGAATAATATTCTGTTGGTACACATCACCGTTGTATCACACCACCACACTGTCAACTAACATCACATCACATTTTCAAGTATATTAAAACTGCCACTCTCGAATGAAATATTCAAATCTACTTCGTCACCTCGACATCTGTTGATTTCGCTGTCAAAACGAGAATTACTGAAAATTCCTAATTCGAATCTGTAGTTAACTGTCTTCAAATTATCAACTATTGGTTTGAAGCAATCTGACTGATTTCAAGTCAGCTGACAAACTGACATCAATTGGAGACCGGTTGAGTCTCCACTGACTAACAACTGGAAATAATTCACTACTGCTCACTACCGCCTGACGAGAGTAGAATCTGACACCAGTGTGGTCAATCGAGTTGTGTTTGAGGACAACTATTCTCCAACAATACTGGCTAGCGCCAAATCGGATCTCATCCCAGAGGCTGAATTCCCAATGGACTCGACCACTCACTTTGACGTTCTCCGATCCATCCTTTATGGAGTCATAGATGTTTACTACAGAATAGTCGTAAACTGGAATCAAAAAGCTGTTCTTCACTACTTCTTCCTTCTATTCACTACTTCTCTAACTGATGTCAGTTCACCATCTACCCTCCCTGTCTATAAATGAAAATATTTTCGAATCTTTTCAAAATAAGTAGAGCAGATAATGTGGACTACCTTGATTGACAAAGGCAGTAATGTGGAATACACCCACTCACTCACAAATACGTACGCTGTGCAGCACATGTACTCGTACAGATTACAAAGAACACAAAGAATCTTGGTAACCTACTGTGAATTATTGTAATTGTAATTATAACTGCAATATGAATTACATTGCGTTACCGTTCGGAAAGGTATACACTGTTTTAATGAGTACAAGATGCAGTTTCGAAAATATATTTTCATCGCCTTTTCATTTCCTTGATAGATTGAGGGGTTGATTGATGGATTGGTTGGTTGATTAATGGTTGTCTGCTTTCGAGATTTCATAAATTTGTCTTTTATGCGGTGACCTGAGTTTTGATCACTTGATGACTGATGTATAGTCAAACATTAAATCCAAACTGATTCATCGTGAGTATACCGCTGTCTTACTGCCTCTGTCCTGTCTATCGACACTGACCCGTAAGTTGAGCCGAATATAAAAGTGCATTTCACAATGAATGTGAGTGTCACAGATGAATATGAAGCAATTAATAACTGACTTGTTACCAACTGGTAACTGAGATGATAAAAGCTATGCTATGCTATCTGTAGTTGATCAAAGTATAAGAAATAGTTTACATCCAATGACAAGGTGGTCTGAGTGATGTCGATTCGTGGTGGAATCGAGATTGAAATAAATCGAAATGCTTACAAAACCCACAAATTCTCGATATCAATCTCGTGTTGATGAGTGGCTATATGAAGCACGCGTGCATGCATGCATGGGTGTGTGTGTGTATATGTGTGCATGAGTGTGGTAGTTCTGAATCTCTCATATGAAGTGGTGACCAGTGGGGTGGAAGATGTCATGTCCACTCATGGATGACACTGGTTGTTAGTGTCTGTATATCGCGTATCGACAGAATTTAGGATTCATGGGCTACTGTATTCCACCAGCTCAGTAGCTGAGTGGTCCACCGACTAGCCCCATGCAGTGGGTGATTAGTGAGCCAATGATCGTGAACCACTGATCAGTGTCATATTATGACTTCAGGAAAAACTGCACACTGTTCAATGGTCACATGAACCAGTTATTTCAATCACCTCGTATACATCAGTTTCTACTGTGGGAATGTGATATGAATTATATTTCTCTAAGATAGGACGAGGAGTGACGTGAGAGTGAGAAGAAAATCGTCAAATTTGGGACTAATTGTGACATAGGAGAACAGTGAAGAGGCTTCGATGAGAAGCAGGTAGTCGAAAGGCGTGTTGATGTGTGTATAACTTAGGCGATTCAAAGTGTTTTGATAACCAGGCCAATGGGACGAAATGAATCTCATCCTTCTCACATATATTATTACTGACAATTTTCGAGGTGTAATTTGTAGTTAGGGAGACAATGCTGACGCGAATGAATACGCGATCGTACATCACTGGACGACGAATATCGTTTGGTAGACATGAACTTCATTTAATTTACAACCCTGTGATTTTGTAGAGTGGGTTACGTCAACTAGACTGAGAGAAGGGTGAGGTTTTTTCTACTTTGTTTGCTTTTAAAATTGTGTAGATGAGTGGTCATCCTAACTCACTCCTTCTCCTCCTCCTCCTCCTCCTAGTTGGCTAGGAAGAATGAGAAACATGGAACTCTCACTACGAACAACTAAGAACCTGTTATCCAACGAATATGCCGAATGGACAGGAGATCAAGTGAGTATGCGTTGAGAAACCAATTGAGATATGACCATGAGGCGTGTAGTGCGACTGAGTGGAGGAGAGTAGAATTTGGGACTGAGTGTGACATGGGGAACAGGGAGGAGGCTTCGATAATAAGCAACTTTTTGAATGGCACGTTGACTCCGATGGCCGAGTGGTAGGAGACTGTGGAATTAAACCAGATGTTCGAAAACAACGTAACGAATCCTCGAAATACCCAAGTCAATAATAAAAGGAATCATGAAATACATGTGAGGACCAAATGATTTCCGGGAGTATCGAATATACGAAACGTCTATTTACATAACGGACACATGAATTCAACAACATCCAGATGGATAAATACGAACCTGATGAATGAGAACTCATTGCAACTCATGCAACAGCGAACATCACATGTGAAGTAATCCAACTATTCTGGTTTACTATCTCTCCATCGATGTCCCTGTCTTTCTGATATCTATCTAACCAACCATTATATTTGATTGTTTTAACGTGTTCAAGTCGACTGAATGACTGACTGTGATGAAGAGTAGTTTATGGCGTCGTTGTGTAAATACATCGGGTCGGGTTGAGGGAGTGAATGTCACCACCTGGTTGTAATTATCTTTATATACGCACTAGTGGATGAATGTGTGTTTCTCAGACACCCGAAAACACCACAGCAATGGACTAGTAGTAAATATTGGAGGGTGAGTGGTGAGATGAGTGGTAGACGGGATACACAGATAACCGATAGACACAAAGCACCCACACCTTTATTCGCCACGTGACCGCCCCGCGATGTTATGCAAGGCGGCTTGCAAAAATACTGCACTACATTTGCTTACAGATACTCATACAGCAACTTTAACTTATGACCTGTAATAAAATCGCCTACCATACCACAAATATACACTTTGCAAAATAACCACAGATTCCTATTCCAATGTCGACATTGACATTCTCATCACCACAGTCACTCAAAATGCTGTATTTTGTCACACTTTCGTGGAGAGAATATTTCCTAATCTGACATATTTCAAATACATACACCCAATCATTATACTACTCAAATGAGTGATATGAGCGACAACGCACTCATTCACTGAAGAGTCGTCATTCATTCATTCATCAAGCAGAATCATTCATTGATTAGGTTCAGTCGATACATGGCTCATAAGTCACACACACACACACATCGAAACATCTGCACACACACGCACAGTTTAGTCATTCTCTCTCCACTCATGAATGGGATGAATTCATGTGTATCCTTCTCACCAATGATGTAATGGTGCTTGAAAAGCAAGGGAGCCAGGAAGGTAGGAAGTCGGGATGGACGAGAGGAAGGAAGATAGGAAGAAACGAACCACTGTCATCAATAAGGTGAAGTGATTCACTTCACAAAGTATTCACTGCCTTTCGATTGTGAAAATCGTCAAATCTGTAATAGATTCGATTTCTATTCATATAACGCGCCGAAATTACATTCTCTCCCCAAATAAATGAAGATGACGATTCTAGACACACAGTACACTCAGAATCCACACCAGTCTCCTGATTTGACTGGTGAAATCCAGTCAGCGTGTCTCCCACTGATTATTTTCAGTGAATGGGAAGCCTATGTAGAATATTTTCGCCAGCTTGTGAATTGTGCATGGAAGTGTGAGACATGGAAATATTGTGCTGATTTCCCCTTTCCCCTTCGGAACACTAGTGGATAATAATCAGTAATAACAGTAACAGTTGGACGATGCTGATTATTTTTCTCTGGACATACTATTGATTGTTTTATGTGATTCCAAAATAGTCAAGTGAAGCATAATTAGTTATGGATGCATGCGTCATCATGTTGTTCTTTGCTTTCTCCTCACTAGTCGAATTTCCGAGAGATACGTCAGTGGTAGAACATTTGTGCCACATTACCTCCTTCTTCACAATTTTCCAGATGTACACTGTGATGGAATTCAATTTTCAGATGCGTCTAACAGAAGAAGAAGAAGAAGAAAACAGCACACTTGAAAGTAGTGAATTAGGAGGAATTATACGAACAACTTTGAGCGGAAATGGTGTCAAAAGGATTTCTGCTCTCCTATAACTTTCAATGAACTGTTTTCACAATTTAAAGTAAGATAAAATTAGTAGTGTGCGTCGGTGGCATAGCGGTTATGAGGCTTGCCGACCATGCACATGGTCGGGGGTTCGATCCCCGGCCGACGCAATCCTTTACCTCGAGAAGCCAGAAATAATGCTGGCAATGAGGAAAGGTTGGGCATAGGGCTAGCAACCCCATCCTGTAAAATCAAACACTGCTACAGAAACTTCAAGCCACTAGCTTGAGGCCCTGTGTTCCACTGGGAACGTGTAAGAAAAAGTAGTAGTAGTAGTAGTAGTAGTAGTAGTAGTAGTAGTAGTAGTAGTAGTAGTAGTAGTAGTAGTAGTAGTAGTAGTAGTAGTAGTAGTAGTAGTAGTAGTAGTAGTAGTAGTAGTAGTAGTAGTAGTAGTAGTAGTAGTAGTAGTAGTAGTAGTAGTAGTAGTAGTAGTAGTAGTAGTAGTAGTAGTAGTAGTAGTAGTAGTAGTAGTAGTAGTAGTAGTAGTAGTAGTAGTAGTAGTAGTAGTAGTAGTAGTAGTAGTAGTAGTAGTAGTAGTAGTAGTAGTAGTAGTAGTAGTAGTAGTAGTAGTAGTAGTAGTAGTAGTAGTAGTAGTAGTAGTAGTAGTAGTAGTAGTAGTAGTAGTAGTAGTAGTAGTAGTAGTAGTAGTAGTAGTAGTAGTAGTAGTAGTAGTAGTAGTAGTAGTAGTAGTAGTAGTAGTAGTAGTAGTAGTAGTAGTAGTAGTAGTAGTAGTAGTAGTAGTAGTAGTAGTAGTAGTAGTAGTAGTAGTAGTAGTAGTAGTAGTAGTAGTAGTAGTAGTAGTAGTAGTAGTAGTAGTAGTAGTAGTAGTAGTAGTAGTAGTAGTAGTAGTAGTAGTAGTAGTAGTAGTAGTAGTAGTAGTAGTAGTAGTAGTAGTAGTAGTAGTAGTAGTAGTAGTAGTAGTAGTAGTAGTAGTAGTAGTAGTAGTAGTAGTAGTAGTAGTAGTAGTAGTAGTAGTAGTAGTAGTAGTAGTAGTAGTAGTAGTAGTAGTAGTAGTAGTAGTAGTAGTAGTAGTAGTAGTAGTAGTAGTAGTAGTAGTAGTAGTAGTAGTAGTAGTAGTAGTAGTAGTAGTAGTAGTAGTAGTAGTAGTAGTAGTAGTAGTAGTAGTAGTAGTAGTAGTAGTAGTAGTAGTAGTAGTAGTAGTAGTAGTAGTAGTAGTAGTAGTAGTAGTAGTAGTAGTAGTAGTAGTAGTAGTAGTAGTAGTAGTAGTAGTAGTAGTAGTAGTAGTAGTAGTAGTAGTAGTAGTAGTAGTAGTAGTAGTAGTAGTAGTAGTAGTAGTAGTAGTAGTAGTAGTAGTAGTAGTAGTAGTAGTAGTAGTAGTAGTAGTAGTAGTAGTAGTAGTAGTAGTAGTAGTAGTAGTAGTAGTAGTAGTAGTAGTAGTAGTAGTAGTAGTAGTAGTAGTAGTAGTAGTAGTAGTAGTAGTAGTAGTAGTAGTAGTAGTAGTAGTAGTAGTAGTAGTAGTAGTAGTAGTAGTAGTAGTAGTAGTAGTAGTAGTAGTAGTAGTAGTAGTAGTAGTAGTAGTAGTAGTAGTAGTAGTAGTAGTAGTAGTAGTAGTAGTAGTAGTAGTAGTAGTAGTAGTAGTAGTAGTAGTAGTAGTAGTAGTAGTAGTAGTAGTAGTAGTAGTAGTAGTAGTAGTAGTAGTAGTAGTAGTAGTAGTAGTAGTAGTAGTAGTAGTAGTAGTAGTAGTAGTAGTAGTAGTAGTAGTAGTAGTAGTAGTAGTAGTAGTAGTAGTAGTAGTAGTAGTAGTAGTAGTAGTAGTAGTAGTAGTAGTAGTAGTAGTAGTAGTAGTAGTAGTAGTAGTAGTAGTAGTAGTAGTAGTAGTAGTAGTAGTAGTAGTAGTAGTAGTAGTAGTAGTAGTAGTAGTAGTAGTAGTAGTAGTAGTAGTAGTAGTAGTAGTAGTAGTAGTAGTAGTAGTAGTAGTAGTAGTAGTAGTAGTAGTAGTAGTAGTAGTAGTAGTAGTAGTAGTAGTAGTAGTAGTAGTAGTAGTAGTAGTAGTAGTAGTAGTAGTAGTAGTAGTAGTAGTAGTAGTAGTAGTAGTAGTAGTAGTAGTAGTAGTAGTAGTAGTAGTAGTAGTAGTAGTAGTAGTAGTAGTAGTAGTAGTAGTAGTAGTAGTAGTAGTAGTAGTAGTAGTAGTAGTAGTAGTAGTAGTAGTAGTAGTAGTAGTAGTAGTAGTAGTAGTAGTAGTAGTAGTAGTAGTAGTAGTAGTAGTAGTAGTAGTAGTAGTAGTAGTAGTAGTAGTAGTAGTAGTAGTAGTAGTAGTAGTAGTAGTAGTAGTAGTAGTAGTAGTAGTAGTAGTAGTAGTAGTAGTAGTAGTAGTAGTAGTAGTAGTAGTAGTAGTAGTAGTAGTAGTAGTAGTAGTAGTAGTAGTAGTAGTAGTAGTAGTAGTAGTAGTAGTAGTAGTAGTAGTAGTAGTAGTAGTAGTAGTAGTAGTAGTAGTAGTAGTAGTAGTAGTAGTAGTAGTAGTAGTAGTAGTAGTAGTAGTAGTAGTAGTAGTAGTAGTAGTAGTAGTAGTAGTGTGGTGAGAGCAGGCTGCTAGCCGATTGGTTGGCACTAATCTACGTTAATGTCTAGGTCACTAATATTGGCCGTGAACAAGGCTGTTTCAACAACCAATCACAGCAAACCTAAATGTGGACAAATATGATTCGCAGATAGATGGCTCTACTTTCCGAGAAATATCGAACACAACCAATCATAAGACTGTGTTTGTCTGCTTAACTTCCGAGAAACAACCAATCAGAAGACTGCCTTTTTCTGCTTGCATAAGCCTTATTAATGCATATAAAATATATATAAATACGTGTTGATTTTCGTAATAAAACGATCTGTTGCCAGCCCTTGTCTTCTGTTGTTACATTTGGTGTCGCTGCCTCCAAGAAGATGAAGATCCCGTGGCCAGCTGCGTTTGAAGAAGGTGACATACGGAGCTTCTTACGTGACTTCGAAGCCGTTGCTGAGCTGGTGGGTGTCAAGGAGCAGGCGGCGAAGGCAGTTGTCCTGGGGACGCTGTTGAGAGGCCGAGCGAAGGCTGCATATGACAGCGTAGACAGGTCAAATGGCACAGCGTCTTGGAAGAAATTGGTTGAACGACTAGTGTCCGAGTTTGACAGCGAAACAGACAGACAGCTAGCAATGCAGCAGTTCCGGTCAATGAAGCTTGGACCTGATGGAGACCCGCTAGTGTTGGCGGTGAAACTGACTAATCTACTTCGACGCGCGCTTCCCACTTTAGATGAAGAATCAGAAGCGCAGTTACTGTCTTCCCAATTCATCGAGAGTGTCCCCGACCACATTTCTCAGCGATTAAAACTGGTTAACGCAACGCAGCCGATGGATATTAGTGAGCTGGCGAAGGTGACCAGACAGCTGCTGAGCACAACGGTAGCCGCTATAGACCAACCAAAACCAAACGAATATGAGCAGAAAATTGAAGCATTGCAGCGGGAAGTGGCGGCGTTAAAGTTGGCTGATAGAAAAGACCGGTGTTTTGAATGCGGTAAGCCGGGACACTGGAGAAGATACTGCCCAGAAAGGCGAAAAAGAAAAAATTTCAGACGGTATAATGCTTGTTCTTTCTTTCGTATGAACCTAGATTTAGTGGGGGCTATTGAGAAAGGCGCTCTGTATTCGAAGTTGCGAGTGAATGATCGAGAAGTAGTATGTTTGATAGATACAGGAGCGGCCGTGTCGTTAATAGATAAGAATTTATGTAAGAGTGTTAATCCGTGTTCATTGACAGTACAAACAGTAGGCGGGTATGTGTTGCGTATCACGGGTAGATCGAACTGTACGGTCGTTGTTGGTGGCTGCGAGGTGACGTTTCCTTTCATTGTTGTACCCGAACTACAGCGAACGATATTAGGAGCGGATTTTCTGCGTGAGATTGGTGCCATAATCGACACGCAAGCGAACGTGGTGATCACGAAATACGGGCATATCAACATGTATGAGACCAGCGAGATAGCAGCGATTAAGCTGTCGACGGTACACAATGTGACAGAGTTAATTAATAAATACGATCATCTGTTCACTGGAGATGGGACCCATACGGTTATTGCGATAAGGTGAATCATGAAATTCCGTTAAGTGATCCTAAAGTAAGGTCATTTTTAACGCGAAGAGTTCCATGTCATCTGGAAGGCGAAGTGGAGCGACAAGTGCAAGAGATGTTAAAAGATGATATTATTGAGGAAGCTGATAGCCCATACAACTCTCCAGTGCTGTTAGTAAAAAAAGCGAATGGGAAATATAGATTCTGTGTTGATTTCCGACAGTTAAACAGTATGACAGAGTTAAGACCGTGTGCCATGCCAACAGTGATAGAAACCTTAGATCGCCTACAAGGTGCGAATGTGTTTTCGGTTCTCGATCTTCGCTCAGGATACTGGCAGATACCGATAAAACAAAGTGACAGAGATAAGACGGCTTTCATCGTGGGTCAGACGCAATATCGATTTAAACGCATGCCGTTTGGACTAGCAGGTGCACCGTTTACGTTCAGACGACTGATGAAGCTATTACTTAGGAACTTGAAAAACGTGGAGGTTTATGGTGATGATCTCGTCATATACAGTCAAAACGAAAACGATCACGTCAACCATGTAGAAGCCGTGCTGCGACGCATCGAAGAGTTTGGACTACGCGTCAACAAAACCAAGTCTCAGATAGCCAAAAAGAATGTTACTCTGTTGGGACATAAAGTGGGAAATGGTGAGATTAAACCACTGCCGGAGAAAATTTTGACGATTAAAACGATTCCAGCCCCGAATTCAAAGAGAAAACTGAGACAATTCTTGGGTAGAGCAGCGTTTTATAGTCGCTTCGTGAAGAACTTCAATGAGATAGCAGCCCCTCTATACAGGCTACTAGGTGAGCCAAAGTTTGTTTGGTCGGAAGAATCGCAGAGGACATTCGACAGAATTAAACAGCTGCTCGACCACCAACAAATGACGCTAAAACTACCTGTGCCAGGAAGACAGTTCACAGTGTGCACAGATGCCAGTGACTACGCTATAGGTGCGGTCCTAAGACAGGACGAGGGAATCGTTGAGTATGCCAGTAGGGTGTTGACCCTCACAGAGAGAAAGTATTCAACGATAGAGAAAGAATGTTTAGCAATGGTATGGGCAGTCGACAAATGGAGACCTTATTTACTCGGCCGGCGGTTCCACATCGAAACTGATCATAAGCCGCTACAATTTTTGAAGACAGCGAGAGACCCACGGGGGAAGTTGTCACGGTGGATGTTGCGTCTTCAGGAATACGATTTTACGATCTCACACGTTCCTGGAAGTGAAAATGTCTTGGCAGATTTGTTATCGAGACCAGAAGATGAGTCTGAGTTGCCCGAGGTCGCTTACGGAGTGCATGCAGTAGAACAAGACCCACTAAGACTTGCACGTAGGCAGAGGTTGGACGATACGCTGAATACAGTAATACAGGTGATCACCAACGGAATAGAAGTGGATCAAACTACGGCGAGTAAGGAGCTAACCACACTACTCAGACAGAGGGATCGACTCAGAGTGAATGCCTACGGGACTCTGACCTGGCGAGAGAACGACGGAAGCTGGCTGGCTGTCATACCTCAATCGTCGCGCCACGACATGATAGAAGAATGTCACCAGCTAGCGCATACAGGCGTGGCCAGAACGACCGACCTCCTAAGACAAAGTATGTACTGGCCAGGTATGAGAGAAGACGTAGCAAGATACGTACTTGGATGTCCACGGTGCCAGCTGATGAAAGGTGACCGGTATATACGACCACCACTTCAGTCGATTCCAGTTACCGCGATAGGTGACTTGTGGTCCGTAGATGTCATGGGTCCATTTCCTCAGACATCCAATGGTAATCAGTACCTCTTGGTGATGACGGAACACGCGACACGATGGGTAGACGCCGTAGCAATCCCAGACCAACGTGCAAGAACCGTGACAGATGCAGTAGTTAGACACATTGTTGCAGACCACGGCGTACCGAAGACAATACTGACAGACCAAGGTCCCTGTTTCGAGAGTGAAGAGTTTACTTCCCGTTTGCAACAGCTGGGCATCAAGAGGATCAGAACGACCCCATACCATCCACAAACGAATGGCCTAACGGAGAGAAACAACCGTACACTGAAAGAGTGGCTGGCTTCGAAGGGCGGGAACTGGGAAACGGAGCTTCCACTGATTTTACTAACACATCGGGCTACCACTCAGGAAACAACGAAGAAGTCACCCTTCCAACTGATGTATGGCAGAAAACCACGATTACCGGTACACAATGAGACCTGGCCCATGCACCAAAAGTGGAGTACGACGAAATTAAAAGCAGAGAGGAAAGAGGCAGTCAAGAATGTAATACGGAAGCAGCGCAGTGATGTCACGAAGTCTCAGATGAAAGAAAGGACGCAGTGCATTACTTTTGCAGTCGGGGACCAAGTGAAGTGTAGAGACAGGAGATATACAGTTGGAGGCGGGCTAGGTTCACGGAAACTCCTTCCAAAGTGGGAAGGACCATACACAATCACAAAAAGACGGGGTCAAGTATATACCATCCGAAGAGGTGATAAACAGAAACGAGTTAACGCCAGTCAGCTACAAAGATGGGTACAGTGGGACAAGCCGGTCAGTAACAATCCTCAACTAGAGGATGTAGCACCCAGAAGGTCGGAACGTCTGCGCACAAAGCTATTTGACGGGGGGACGAGTGTGGTGAGAGCAGGCTGCTAGCCGATTGGTTGGCACTAATCTACGTTAATGTCTAGGTCACTAATATTGGCCGTGAACAAGGCTGTTTCAACAACCAATCACAGCAAACCTAAATGTGGACAAATATGATTCGCAGATAGATGGCTCTACTTTCCGAGAAATATCGAACACAACCAATCATAAGACTGTGTTTGTCTGCTTAACTTCCGAGAAACAACCAATCAGAAGACTGCCTTTTTCTGCTTGCATAAGCCTTATTAATGCATATAAAATATATATAAATACGTGTTGATTTTCGTAATAAAACGATCTGTTGCCAGCCCTTGTATTCTGTTGTTACAGTAGTAGTAGTAGTAGTAGTAGTAGTAGTAGTAGTAGTAGTAGTAGTAGTAGTAGTAGTAGTAGTAGTAGTAGTAGTAGTAGTAGTAGTAGTAGTAGTAGTAGTAGTAGTAGTAGTAGTAGTAGTAGTAGTAGTAGTAGTAGTAGTAGTAGTAGTAGTAGTAGTAGTAGTAGTAGTAGTAGTAGTAGTAGTAGTAGTAGTAGTAGTAGTAGTAGTAGTAGTAGTAGTAGTAGTAGTAGTAGTAGTAGTAGTAGTAGTAGTAGTAGTAGTAGTAGTAGTAGTAGTAGTAGTAGTAGTAGTAGTAGTAGTAGTAGTAGTAGTAGTAGTAGTAGTAGTAGTAGTAGTAGTAGTAGTAGTAGTAGTAGTAGTAGTAGTAGTAGTAGTAGTAGTAGTAGTAGTAGTAGTAGTAGTAGTAGTAGTAGTAGTAGTAGTAGTAGTAGTAGTAGTAGTAGTAGTAGTAGTAGTAGTAGTAGTAGTAGTAGTAGTAGTAGTAGTAGTAGTAGTAGTAGTAGTAGTAGTAGTAGTAGTAGTAGTAGTAGTAGTAGTAGTAGTAGTAGTAGTAGTAGTAGTAGTAGTAGTAGTAGTAGTAGTAGTAGTAGTAGTAGTAGTAGTAGTAGTAGTAGTAGTAGTAGTAGTAGTAGTAGTAGTAGTAGTAGTAGTAGTAGTAGTAGTAGTAGTAGTAGTAGTAGTAGTAGTAGTAGTAGTAGTAGTAGTAGTAGTAGTAGTAGTAGTAGTAGTAGTAGTAGTAGTAGTAGTAGTAGTAGTAGTAGTAGTAGTAGTAGTAGTAGTAGTAGTAGTAGTAGTAGTAGTAGTAGTAGTAGTAGTAGTAGTAGTAGTAGTAGTAGTAGTAGTAGTAGTAGTAGTAGTAGTAGTAGTAGTAGTAGTAGTAGTAGTAGTAGTAGTAGTAGTAGTAGTAGTAGTAGTAGTAGTAGTAGTAGTAGTAGTAGTAGTAGTAGTAGTAGTAGTAGTAGTAGTAGTAGTAGTAGTAGTAGTAGTAGTAGTAGTAGTAGTAGTAGTAGTAGTAGTAGTAGTAGTAGTAGTAGTAGTAGTAGTAGTAGTAGTAGTAGTAGTAGTAGTAGTAGTAGTAGTAGTAGTAGTAGTAGTAGTAGTAGTAGTAGTAGTAGTAGTAGTAGTAGTAGTAGTAGTAGTAGTAGTAGTAGTAGTAGTAGTAGTAGTAGTAGTAGTAGTAGTAGTAGTAGTAGTAGTAGTAGTAGTAGTAGTAGTAGTAGTAGTAGTAGTAGTAGTAGTAGTAGTAGTAGTAGTAGTAGTAGTAGTAGTAGTAGTAGTAGTAGTAGTAGTAGTAGTAGTAGTAGTAGTAGTAGTAGTAGTAGTAGTAGTAGTAGTAGTAGTAGTAGTAGTAGTAGTAGTAGTAGTAGTAGTAGTAGTAGTAGTAGTAGTAGTAGTAGTAGTAGTAGTAGTAGTAGTAGTAGTAGTAGTAGTAGTAGTAGTAGTAGTAGTAGTAGTAGTAGTAGTAGTAGTAGTAGTAGTAGTAGTAGTAGTAGTAGTAGTAGTAGTAGTAGTAGTAGTAGTAGTAGTAGTAGTAGTAGTAGTAGTAGTAGTAGTAGTAGTAGTAGTAGTAGTAGTAGTAGTAGTAGTAGTAGTAGTAGTAGTAGTAGTAGTAGTAGTAGTAGTAGTAGTAGTAGTAGTAGTAGTAGTAGTAGTAGTAGTAGTAGTAGTAGTAGTAGTAGTAGTAGTAGTAGTAGTAGTAGTAGTAGTAGTAGTAGTAGTAGTAGTAGTAGTAGTAGTAGTAGTAGTAGTAGTAGTAGTAGTAGTAGTAGTAGTAGTAGTAGTAGTAGTAGTAGTAGTAGTAGTAGTAGTAGTAGTAGTAGTAGTAGTAGTAGTAGTAGTAGTAGTAGTAGTAGTAGTAGTAGTAGTAGTAGTAGTAGTAGTAGTAGTAGTAGTAGTAGTAGTAGTAGTAGTAGTAGTAGTAGTAGTAGTAGTAGTAGTAGTAGTAGTAGTAGTAGTAGTAGTAGTAGTAGTAGTAGTAGTAGTAGTAGTAGTAGTAGTAGTAGTAGTAGTAGTAGTAGTAGTAGTAGTAGTAGTAGTAGTAGTAGTAGTAGTAGTAGTAGTAGTAGTAGTAGTAGTAGTAGTAGTAGTAGTAGTAGTAGTAGTAGTAGTAGTAGTAGTAGTAGTAGTAGTAGTAGTAGTAGTAGTAGTAGTAGTAGTAGTAGTAGTAGTAGTAGTAGTAGTAGTAGTAGTAGTAGTAGTAGTAGTAGTAGTAGTAGTAGTAGTAGTAGTAGTAGTAGTAGTAGTAGTAGTAGTAGTAGTAGTAGTAGTAGTAGTAGTAGTAGTAGTAGTAGTAGTAGTAGTAGTAGTAGTAGTAGTAGTAGTAGTAGTAGTAGTAGTAGTAGTAGTAGTAGTAGTAGTAGTAGTAGTAGTAGTAGTAGTAGTAGTAGTAGTAGTAGTAGTAGTAGTAGTAGTAGTAGTAGTAGTAGTAGTAGTAGTAGTAGTAGTAGTAGTAGTAGTAGTAGTAGTAGTAGTAGTAGTAGTAGTAGTAGTAGTAGTAGTAGTAGTAGTAGTAGTAGTAGTAGTAGTAGTAGTAGTAGTAGTAGTAGTAGTAGTAGTAGTAGTAGTAGTAGTAGTAGTAGTAGTAGTAGTAGTAGTAGTAGTAGTAGTAGTAGTAGTAGTAGTAGTAGTAGTAGTAGTAGTAGTAGTAGTAGTAGTAGTAGTAGTAGTAGTAGTAGTAGTAGTAGTAGTAGTAGTAGTAGTAGTAGTAGTAGTAGTAGTAGTAGTAGTAGTAGTAGTAGTAGTAGTAGTAGTAGTAGTAGTAGTAGTAGTAGTAGTAGTAGTAGTAGTAGTAGTAGTAGTAGTAGTAGTAGTAGTAGTAGTAGTAGTAGTAGTAGTAGTAGTAGTAGTAGTAGTAGTAGTAGTAGTAGTAGTAGTAGTAGTAGTAGTAGTAGTAGTAGTAGTAGTAGTAGTAGTAGTAGTAGTAGTAGTAGTAGTAGTAGTAGTAGTAGTAGTAGTAGTAGTAGTAGTAGTAGTAGTAGTAGTAGTAGTAGTAGTAGTAGTAGTAGTAGTAGTAGTAGTAGTAGTAGTAGTAGTAGTAGTAGTAGTAGTAGTAGTAGTAGTAGTAGTAGTAGTAGTAGTAGTAGTAGTAGTAGTAGTAGTAGTAGTAGTAGTAGTAGTAGTAGTAGTAGTAGTAGTAGTAGTAGTAGTAGTAGTAGTAGTAGTAGTAGTAGTAGTAGTAGTAGTAGTAGTAGTAGTAGTAGTAGTAGTAGTAGTAGTAGTAGTAGTAGTAGTAGTAGTAGTAGTAGTAGTAGTAGTAGTAGTAGTAGTAGTAGTAGTAGTAGTAGTAGTAGTAGTAGTAGTAGTAGTAGTAGTAGTAGTAGTAGTAGTAGTAGTAGTAGTAGTAGTAGTAGTAGTAGTAGTAGTAGTAGTAGTAGTAGTAGTAGTAGTAGTAGTAGTAGTAGTAGTAGTAGTAGTAGTAGTAGTAGTAGTAGTAGTAGTAGTAGTAGTAGTAGTAGTAGTAGTAGTAGTAGTAGTAGTAGTAGTAGTAGTAGTAGTAGTAGTAGTAGTAGTAGTAGTAGTAGTAGTAGTAGTAGTAGTAGTAGTAGTAGTAGTAGTAGTAGTAGTAGTAGTAGTAGTAGTAGTAGTAGTAGTAGTAGTAGTAGTAGTAGTAGTAGTAGTAGTAGTAGTAGTAGTAGTAGTAGTAGTAGTAGTAGTAGTAGTAGTAGTAGTAGTAGTAGTAGTAGTAGTAGTAGTAGTAGTAGTAGTAGTAGTAGTAGTAGTAGTAGTAGTAGTAGTAGTAGTAGTAGTAGTAGTAGTAGTAGTAGTAGTAGTAGTAGTAGTAGTAGTAGTAGTAGTAGTAGTAGTAGTAGTAGTAGTAGTAGTAGTAGTAGTAGTAGTAGTAGTAGTAGTAGTAGTAGTAGTAGTAGTAGTAGTAGTAGTAGTAGTAGTAGTAGTAGTAGTAGTAGTAGTAGTAGTAGTAGTAGTAGTAGTAGTAGTAGTAGTAGTAGTAGTAGTAGTAGTAGTAGTAGTAGTAGTAGTAGTAGTAGTAGTAGTAGTAGTAGTAGTAGTAGTAGTAGTAGTAGTAGTAGTAGTAGTAGTAGTAGTAGTAGTAGTAGTAGTAGTAGTAGTAGTAGTAGTAGTAGTAGTAGTAGTAGTAGTAGTAGTAGTAGTAGTAGTAGTAGTAGTAGTAGTAGTAGTAGTAGTAGTAGTAGTAGTAGTAGTAGTAGTAGTAGTAGTAGTAGTAGTAGTAGTAGTAGTAGTAGTAGTAGTAGTAGTAGTAGTAGTAGTAGTAGTAGTAGTAGTAGTAGTAGTAGTAGTAGTAGTAGTAGTAGTAGTAGTAGTAGTAGTAGTAGTAGTAGTAGTAGTAGTAGTAGTAGTAGTAGTAGTAGTAGTAGTAGTAGTAGTAGTAGTAGTAGTAGTAGTAGTAGTAGTAGTAGTAGTAGTAGTAGTAGTAGTAGTAGTAGTAGTAGTAGTAGTAGTAGTAGTAGTAGTAGTAGTAGTAGTAGTAGTAGTAGTAGTAGTAGTAGTAGTAGTAGTAGTAGTAGTAGTAGTAGTAGTAGTAGTAGTAGTAGTAGTAGTAGTAGTAGTAGTAGTAGTAGTAGTAGTAGTAGTAGTAGTAGTAGTAGTAGTAGTAGTAGTAGTAGTAGTAGTAGTAGTAGTAGTAGTAGTAGTAGTAGTAGTAGTAGTAGTAGTAGTAGTAGTAGTAGTAGTAGTAGTAGTAGTAGTAGTAGTAGTAGTAGTAGTAGTAGTAGTAGTAGTAGTAGTAGTAGTAGTAGTAGTAGTAGTAGTAGTAGTAGTAGTAGTAGTAGTAGTAGTAGTAGTAGTAGTAGTAGTAGTAGTAGTAGTAGTAGTAGTAGTAGTAGTAGTAGTAGTAGTAGTAGTAGTAGTAGTAGTAGTAGTAGTAGTAGTAGTAGTAGTAGTAGTAGTAGTAGTAGTAGTAGTAGTAGTAGTAGTAGTAGTAGTAGTAGTAGTAGTAGTAGTAGTAGTAGTAGTAGTAGTAGTAGTAGTAGTAGTAGTAGTAGTAGTAGTGTGGTGAGAGCAGGCTGCTAGCCGATTGGTTGGCACTAATCTACGTTAATGTCTAGGTCACTAATATTGGCCGTGAACAAGGCTGTTTCAACAACCAATCACAGCAAACCTAAATGTGGACAAATATGATTCGCAGATAGATGGCTCTACTTTCCGAGAAATATCGAACACAACCAATCATAAGACTGTGTTTGTCTGCTTAACTTCCGAGAAACAACCAATCAGAAGACTGCCTTTTTCTGCTTGCATAAGCCTTATTAATGCATATAAAATATATATAAATACGTGTTGATTTTCGTAATAAAACGATCTGTTGCCAGCCCTTGTCTTCTGTTGTTACATTTGGTGTCGCTGCCTCCAAGAAGATGAAGATCCCGTGGCCAGCTGCGTTTGAAGAAGGTGACATACGGAGCTTCTTACGTGACTTCGAAGCCGTTGCTGAGCTGGTGGGTGTCAAGGAGCAGGCGGCGAAGGCAGTTGTCCTGGGGACGCTGTTGAGAGGCCGAGCGAAGGCTGCATATGACAGCGTAGACAGGTCAAATGGCACAGCGTCTTGGAAGAAATTGGTTGAACGACTAGTGTCCGAGTTTGACAGCGAAACAGACAGACAGCTAGCAATGCAGCAGTTCCGGTCAATGAAGCTTGGACCTGATGGAGACCCGCTAGTGTTGGCGGTGAAACTGACTAATCTACTTCGACGCGCGCTTCCCACTTTAGATGAAGAATCAGAAGCGCAGTTACTGTCTTCCCAATTCATCGAGAGTGTCCCCGACCACATTTCTCAGCGATTAAAACTGGTTAACGCAACGCAGCCGATGGATATTAGTGAGCTGGCGAAGGTGACCAGACAGCTGCTGAGCACAACGGTAGCCGCTATAGACCAACCAAAACCAAACGAATATGAGCAGAAAATTGAAGCATTGCAGCGGGAAGTGGCGGCGTTAAAGTTGGCTGATAGAAAAGACCGGTGTTTTGAATGCGGTAAGCCGGGACACTGGAGAAGATACTGCCCAGAAAGGCGAAAAAGAAAAAATTTCAGACGGTATAATGCTTGTTCTTTCTTTCGTATGAACCTAGGTTTAGTGGGGGCTATTGAGAAAGGCGCTCTGTATTCGAAGTTGCGAGTGAATGATCGAGAAGTAGTATGTTTGATAGATACAGGAGCGGCCGTGTCGTTAATAGATAAGAATTTATGTAAGAGTGTTAATCCGTGTTCATTGACAGTACAAACAGTAGGCGGGTATGTGTTGCGTATCACGGGTAGATCGAACTGTACGGTCGTTGTTGGTGGCTGCGAGGTGACGTTTCCTTTCATTGTTGTACCCGAACTACAGCGAACGATATTAGGAGCGGATTTTCTGCGTGAGATTGGTGCCATAATCGACACGCAAGCGAACGTGGTGATCACGAAATACGGGCATATCAACATGTATGAGACCAGCGAGATAGCAGCGATTAAGCTGTCGACGGTACACAATGTGACAGAGTTAATTAATAAATACGATCATCTGTTCACTGGAGATGGGGACCCATACGGTTATTGCGATAAGGTGAATCATGAAATTCCGTTAAGTGATCCTAAAGTAAGGTCATTTTTAACGCGAAGAGTTCCATGTCATCTGGAAGGCGAAGTGGAGCGACAAGTGCAAGAGATGTTAAAAGATGATATTATTGAGGAAGCTGATAGCCCATACAACTCTCCAGTGCTGTTAGTAAAAAAAGCGAATGGGAAATATAGATTCTGTGTTGATTTCCGACAGTTAAACAGTATGACAGAGTTAAGACCGTGTGCCATGCCAACAGTGATAGAAACCTTAGATCGACTACAAGGTGCGAATGTGTTTTCGGTTCTCGATCTTCGCTCAGGATACTGGCAGATACCGATAAAACAAAGTGACAGAGATAAGACGGCTTTCATCGTGGGTCAGACGCAATATCGATTTAAACGCATGCCGTTTGGACTAGCAGGTGCACCGTTTACGTTCAGACGACTGATGAAGCTATTACTTAGGAACTTGAAAAACGTGGAGGTTTATGGTGATGATCTCGTCATATACAGTCAGAACGAAAACGATCACGTCAACCATGTAGAAGCCGTGCTGCGACGCATCGAAGAGTTTGGACTACGCGTCAACAAAACCAAGTCTCAGATAGCCAAAAAGAATGTTACTCTGTTGGGACATAAAGTGGGAAATGGTGAGATTAAACCACTGCCGGAGAAAATTTTGACGATTAAAACGATTCCAGCCCCGAATTCAAAGAGAAAACTGAGACAATTCTTGGGTAGAGCAGCGTTTTATAGTCGCTTCGTGAAGAACTTCAATGAGATAGCAGCCCCTCTATACAGGCTACTAGGTGAGCCAAAGTTTGTTTGGTCGGAAGAATCGCAGAGGACATTCGACAGAATTAAACAGCTGCTCGACCACCAACAAATGACGCTAAAACTACCTGTGCCAGGAAGACAGTTCACAGTGTGCACAGATGCCAGTGACTACGCTATAGGTGCGGTCCTAAGACAGGACGAGGGAATCGTTGAGTATGCCAGTAGGGTGTTGACCCTCACAGAGAGAAAGTATTCAACGATAGAGAAAGAATGTTTAGCAATGGTATGGGCAGTCGACAAATGGAGACCTTATTTACTCGGCCGGCGGTTCCACATCGAAACCGATCATAAGCCGCTACAATTTTTGAAGACAGCGAGAGACCCACGGGGGAAGTTGTCACGGTGGATGTTGCGTCTTCAGGAATGGTAGTGGTAGTGGTAGTGGTAGTGGTAGTGGTAGTGGTAGTGGTAATAATAATAACTTGAGAGTAGGAAATAAAAGTGGTGTTTAGATGGATGGATCGATGGATGGTTGGATGAGTGGTCGGTCGATTGGTTGGATGAGTTAATACTACGAGGAAGAAATCCACCTGAGGCAATAATCACAATATTGGAAACTGTTCTTCACTTCACTCGAATCTCATTTCGCTTTATCTCTTCTCCACTCAACTCCGCTCCATTCCATTCAACAATACTCCATTCCACTATACTCGACTACACTATTCTCTACTGTACCACTTATCTACTCTACTCGATTCCACTCTACTCATTCAAACAATAGCATATTCACTTCACTGATATTCACTACATTTACAACATCATTTTTCGCATTCTCAAACTGCTTTCGAATATTCATTGAAATCATGAGAATTAATTGTTCCCTTCTCAATTTCGGTTTCATTAAATCAAACTGTTTCAGTCTTACTATATTTCCTAATGCACATGAATAGGTGGTTTTGGTGTGGTTTTAGTGCTTTCTTCAGAAATAACTGTTTGACAGTTTTGTTTTCGTAGGGATTCGAGTGTGATAATTACACCTGGTGTACTCTAATGACGAAGAAGTGGAATGAGCAGATGTGAAATCCTTCAGACAAGTCAGTCAGTCAGTTAGTCGATGAAGTGATGTGAAGTGAAGTGAGTTGAGTTCGCTTCAGTTTCGAAGTGACATCTAATTCAGGATATCATTTTATCCAGTCTTATTCTCCTGTGATAAAATGTCTCACAAACTCGGAGATCCACCGAGTGGTAACCAACAGGCTGTTGTAGAAGTCAAGCTGTGGAGACACGACTTCAAGTAAACAGTGAGAATACACAAGTTTTGAAGGTGTACCAAAAACAACAACACGACAACAACAATAACAGCAATAACAGCGACAGAGACGGGAACAGCAACAGCGTGTGGCTGCATGTAGGTGCCACTGATAAGGGGAAGAATGTGAAGAAAGGCATCGACTTGACTTAGGAGACAGGAGAGTTTTGACTACAGGTGTCAGAGATGAAGATGTCTTGGTTGGTGAGGATGGGAGAAGCAAGATAGGCTTTAATTATTCTGAAGTCAGTGTGGAATCTATTGAACACGGGGGGATTCGGATTTTCCACACTAATGTGAAACCAGTCAGGGTTTCCATATGATTGAAAAACCTTGTGGGTGGATTGTGGGATGCATTTCGATTAGGTAGCTGGAGACAGCGATAGACAGCTCTTTTCGCTGTCGAATGGATTGCTACCAAATATATTCCATAGGTGATACAAAAAGCAACACAGAATATTGATCGGACACCATTTTCACAGCTACATATGTGCATCGAACAATCCTGGTGTTGTCATAAAATAATCTCACGCCACTGGTATTTGAACTACTAACAAGTTGGTCGAAGAGTCAGACAGTAGAGGCAGGAGTTATCAAGATGAAACAAAAATAACAGAAACAACAAGTATCTGTTGATATAAGGATGAAACTTCGACATGGGTGTGGAGCATAACTCCATCATGGATCAAATTTCAATTATGATACAATCACAGTGTTGTACAATAATATTTACTGCTCTTACTTGCTAGAAAAATATTCGCTTCAATAATTTCTCTTCACATGAACTGTGATCAAGATTTCACCGAATAGTTGCAGATAAAGGCAATATGACAGTTGTCATGATCTCTGCAGATCACGAAAATAAGCTCATTGGTCATCTTAATGACGGGGACCTTATGAAAAATTCAACGTGAATAAATCAAGAGCGACATTAAATAAGCTGAAGGCTGAAATAAACAAAATGTTACAGTCAGTAAAAGAAAAGCTCGGTGTATCACATTGGTTTACTCTGGTTCCAAAAAGTTGAAGCCCCTGTAGATTTTATGGGTTACCAAAAATACACAAATCAGAACTTCCATTACGTCCAGTAGTGGATTTTACTGACTCTCCAATATACAAACTCTCTGAATACATTTATCGAATCCTTAGCCCATTTGAAATGAAAGTGGAGCATGTAGTGAAGAATTCGTATGAATTTAAGAGGAAAATAAATTTGACTTATAATACGGTGGCCTGCTTAAATCTTGGGCTACCAAAATTTCCATCCTATATATCGCATCTATTTCCTCGGATTTATTTTGTTTTATTCATTCAATTGTGTCCGAATCGCATTACTTACTCTCGCGATTATTTAAAATGTTTTCAACCTGATGATTTACGAGTAT